GCTCTCTCTCTCTCTCTCTCTCTCTCTCTCTATTTATATATATATATATATATATATATATATATATATATATATATATATATATATATATATATATATATATATATATATATATTTAAGAACTTGACGGGCGCATACATAAAGAGCACGCTTCATCAATTATTATTAAAATTAATTTAAAAGTGTTTGTTTGCTTTAAATGTATTAATTTTGTAACATAGTTTCCTGAGTTAGGTCTGAGTGAAAGGAAGTATTGAGGCAGGCCAAAGCCCAACATGTGCTGTAGCGCCACAGGAATGGATGAATAAAAAAGACCATACGAGATATGATCATCGTCCACTTAGTGGATGAGGACATGTTATCTGAGGATGAACTGGCCTCAATCACACAACCGCATGATCCTAGTATGGAGCTCTAACTGAAGCTCAAACGAATGGAGCTAGATGCTCGGAGATTGAGATTCAGATAGATATTTTTAACTTCACGAGACGTGTAGTATTCTTTGTGTACTCATATGTGTTTATTCGCATTCATCATTATTAAGTGACACATTGTACTAATTGTACCGGTACAAGATCTACCATACTCTGTAAGTTGATGATTTGTAATTATATTTTCTTTTTTTTTTGTAATTGTATTATTACTAAATTAAATCTTCTTAATTGTAATTGGTACTGTTTTGGGTGTCATATTTTTGCTATTATTGTATTTTCTCTATGGTATCGTCCTTTGTTAGGCACTGTTTGAACGAGCCATAAAATTAAAATAAGAGATTAATTTCTCACAATAGAAGCCAGTGCGTAACAGGTATAAAAAAAGGAGAAAGGAAATATTTACAAAAGGCGTCATATAGACTATTTATTAATATGTGATTTATCTGAAGGAAAATGAGAAAGCAAGTATTTCTAAACAAATGCAGTAACTTTAAAAGTTTATTTTGAATTTCTAACTACTACTATCACTTTGACAATAGAAAACCTGTTGAAATAAACAGGAGAAACGGTCTTGCCACTGCTTTCATTTTGAAAGCAAATTCAATCGCCCAAAATAGATCAATATTCATTAATAACATTTGCAGCTTAACATCCCTAGAAGTAGAGGCGTGAGACCCCCTGGAGGCGTGATGCCCCCTGGAGGTATGAGACCCTGGGCAAGTGCCCAGTGTGCCCACTGTGTCCCCTGATGTCATTTGTATTCTTCCTTATTGCGTTTATCTTGCCTCACTGACACCTACAAAGCTTATGTTGTACATTGTGTGTACATTCAATTTGCCTACCTAGGTGAATTTCCTCAACGACAAGTATATACTCAATAAACCACTTCTCTTTCAGGTTTGACTGGGTCGCTCCTTAATCCATTTTACAGGCCCTCCTTAACCTAACGACGGTGGGCATACGTTAGAATTTATGAACTATTCTGTAGCAGTGTTTTGTTGGACAGAAACAACACAAACACGCATTTTAATCTGGCCCACTTGTCATAGGCTCCTCCACTTCAAGGATGAAAGGATCGCCTAGAAGATTTATTTACAAAAAAACAACAAAGTTAGAATTTTAAAACACATTTCTTTCAATGCATCACACACTCCCAAGAAATTTAATCAAACTGTTGCATACAATTACAATACAAATTCAAAAAAGGCCAAAAAGTATTTCTAAAATATAATAAAAACTCAAACAATATTGCAAAGAACAATTTAAGATTGTCAGTTTATTGAAATGTCAAATTTAGATTTTTTTTTTCAAATTAAAATCAACAAAAGGTTAAGAAAGCCTAAGGTATTTGTAGCTGGAACATGCTCTTGCAAACGTTAAGTTATCAATTCTTTACTAAAAATTTGTCACAACCTTTAATAACGCCTTTAACATTAGCCTACAATTTTCAAGCTGATATAATTGAATTTTGAATATAATGTTTTTGTTTTAATGACCAAACACAATGTATGATTCCTCCTAATTTATGATATGACCTAATAAAAGATGAGAACATTATATTTTTTAAAAATAATTATAAGCAATAAATAAAGTGTGTAAATTCAAAACCTAGATAATTAAAAGTAATCCAACAATTTTTAAATGATCCATAATAGTTTTGAAGTAATCAGCAAATTTGTCAGATTTTTTGTCTATGCTTTGTGTGAATAGAAATCAAGCATGATAAATCTAAACAAAAGCCTAACCTATAAGCTAAATATGAAATATTTGTAACGAAATTTCATTTGATAATTTCCCAAAAATGTCAATTTTTATATAATTTACTGAACTCTGTAGATAATCTAAAGAAAGACAATAATTGTTTTGGCAGCCAAGGCCTAACACATTTTCTGGCTAAAAAAATGAAGTTACTAAAAAAATAAATGGCCTTTTGAGCCTATCAAACTATTATTTGTTACAATACATTATTATATTACTACATGAGCATTTGATGAATAGGTCTGAACTAGACCAATGAATTAAAACGATAAAAACTATCATTGAAATTTTTGAAAACAACTTGTCCTACCTATGTCCTTCACACTTATTTTAAAGAATAGTTTTGATTTAATTATAGCGTTTTAAAGATATCTCTTCTCAACTTTAAAAATAATTAAGATTCTGCCTAGCTTTTTAAAAATATGTTAATAAATTAAGAATATTGTCATAAATAAATATATTTCTTAAAAAAATATTTGTAACATCTTTGAAGTCTACATTGGCTAAGACTATATTTTGATCGAATTTACTGAAAAACAAACTACAAACTAAGACACATATCTATCTTCAGCTTTTAAAAGAATAATTAAAAATGAAGTGGCTACACACATGATATTAAGATTGAAATCTTCAAAGTTAGAAGAGACAGAAATATTTAGACATTATATAAAAGCTAGTCCAATTAGTACTTAACATAAATATAATGTATGCATAAATCCTTTAATCATTAATGTGTTAATATCTAATTTATCCACATTGCAATATTGTTTTTTTATTATTCAGAACACATTTTCCAGCATCAAAATAGTCTTTCGTTGAGCTCGAATGTACAGCTAAAGATATTCCTTATTTTTGTTTTTAGGCAAGCCTTCCCTGGCTACATTGCAAACTAACCTCACAATGTACTGGACAGTGTAGAGAGACTATTATTAGGCCTAAGGTATATGTGACCCCTTTCATCTCTGGGCCAATTTACAATTTTCTGATACCAAGTAATCAAAGGATTTCCTGTTACAATTAATAACTAGAACAAGATAATTAGAATATGATTAATAAATAACAATCGTTATTTTATTGCTGATGTTTTTATGGAATGCTTTAAAAACTGTTAAATTTATGTCATTAGGGTCACCTCTCTCAGATTTAATCTTATAAATCAAATTTTCACCAATAATTTATTTTATTTAAATACATTTCCCAACATTAGGCAACAATCAAAAGTGTAGCTATCGTTTGGGGATGTTCTTGGTTAATAAAGTTTAACCGGTACTAAGATGGAAAGAGAGGATACTCATGAAATATTTCTTCCAAAGGGATACTCTAATAATTCTAGCTGATGCCTTTTAAAATAATAATGCATAAAAAAATAAATATTAATTCAGACATGTTATAACAAACTATCAATAGCTGATGGCATTGCTGTTTTAAAACATGAATTGCTTTGTTGTTGAAACTGTTGACATATACTATAGGCAGCAAAATTTAAATATTTATGTTCACATTTTTTAAAATAGAAATACGTCAAATAAAAAACTGGGTTTGCAGACATCCATAAAATCTATCGGTAGATAAACATAACTAATTCTAATACCCCCACCCACCCACCCATGTCTTTTTGTAGACTTATACCCACGGCTAGGGCAGTGTGAGAAGCCTGAACATGGAGCCCCCATTAAAATCAAGAATTCTGTTATATGATGTTGGCTGTGGCGTAGTTAGACACAGTGTGCCGCCACGGATGGACCTTGAGTTTACCGCCCTTTCCAAAAACACTATACATAGATATAAATATATATACACACACACACACGCAAATGCTTTTCATAAATAACAGATTGTCGGGGCTGGCACTTAATTGATCCAGTTTTGGGATAGGATGTCTGTGGGTTTTGGGGGGAGGGGGGGGGGGAAGCAGGAAATCTAAATCAGCATTTAAAAAAGCAACCTGACGTCATTGAAAGACATTAATCTGTTCAATGACGCGCTTTGATGACTACTGGGCCAGTTGTCGGCTAGAGTTCCAACGTCGTGGTAAAAATAGTTCTACAATTTAATGGAGAACTCAAATTATGCGCAGCGTGTTTGAATCCTTGTTCTATTGTTTGCTATGGATCGAAAATGGCACACTCACATGAAATAGATCAAGTGCCGCCCCTCCTCCCTGCCCACTTCCTACGCTTGTGGATACAGGCCTACATTATAGCCTATTGACGATTTAGGCACACCTGCTGGTGTCCCTGGCGGCTGTCTCCTTGGGCCCCCTCCTCGCACGGCCCTGCCAACAGTTCTCGAAACATTAAACAATAATGTCATGATTAGATCTGCTAACTTGGCATTTGTTAAGAAAGAAGAAGCATTAAAAAATATATAAACAATGATAAAATATAAATACTTTATGCAAAAAGCTAGAATGCAAATGTCAATGTACACTTTTTAAAACTCTAAATTATAATTGCTTATGACTTGGGTGTTAAAAGTAGAGGAAAAATAAAGTTGCCAGCACTGAGGCACATAATAAATGTGACATGGTTTTGATGGATGCTCCAACGTTACAGAAGTCAACTGGACATTCGCAGACAGTTGTCTTGAATCGCTTGCCATTTGTACCAAACACTGACTTGCACCCGTTCTCATTCTTTGTCTTGGCACACTGGCGCACGGTGCGCTCCACTAAGTCTACTTGAGCGTTTTCACTGACTGAAAATTATTATAGGAAAAATTCAGCATAGCCATAGCATTTATACCGGAATTTAATTCTTGGATTGAGCATCACGCTAGAAAATGTAATCACGAAAAAGCGAGATTTCATTTATAAACTAAATAAATAATCAACACTAGTTGTTGTAATTTAATAATGTTTAACCCACCTAAATGATTTTTTTTAAAAACAGCAAAAATAAAAACATGAACAGTCAGGTCTAAATGATGATCAAAATGAGATTACATTAAAAATATAAAATATCTTACAAAATAAAGTCATGGAACCAATTTAAAGAAGTTAAAGATTGATTAATATAATAAAGTATGAAATTAATACATGCCCGTCAGATTTGCCACCCGTTCCTAACTTTACGGACAGTCCATAAACATTTGACTGCAAGGGACAGGTCCGTAAAATTCCATAAGAAAAAAATAATATTTTGAAGCGAAATAAAACGGGATGTGGGGCCATTCCTAAAGGACGTCATAAGTCCGGATGTGGGGAAGGAAGGGTCACGAATTTGGGACGATGTGTTAAAAGAGTCTAATTTTTAAAAAGAATTGTGACTATTTAAAATACCGGTATATATTTTTGGGAGGGGTGGGTAAAAATCCTTCCACTTGACGTAACTTAATTTATTGATTGCACCTATCTCAGCTTTTGTGTTTTATTCTATATGCTTTAAAACTTGATGAGAATGCCATAAATAAACAAATGTATTATAAAAGTTATAAAATAGGCTCAAAGACAAGCCCTATGGTAATATGACATTAAGTCATAAGGACCTGCCAATTTTAACATCGCTACAAAGCTGAAATGAATCATTAGTTTTATAAAATCTATAAAATAGATTTTAAAATCACTAAAATTGTGTAATTTCTCAAAGAAATTGATCTGGGGTCTCCAAACTTTTTTCTCGGCGGTCCGGATAACGTACACAATGACGATCGCGGACCGGACAATCATTCTGTACAATAATTGCAAGCCAGAACCAAAGCTTTGGGAAAAAAGGCGAAAAACTAAGTTTAGTATTCCATGCTAATCATGGGTGAGTGGAGTTAGAACACAAAACAAAGACAGCCAACATATTATTTTTTTTAAAAAGTTATCAAAGAAGGTGACGTTAGCAAAGAGATAGTTACATCAGACGCAGTGCGCACATATTCGAATCTCACAACCTAAGCAGCAAAAAAAGTTAGTGAGATTTATGAAACTGACGTTTGGCTTTCAAGATGTCATTAATTTTTGGTTTGGAATTGCTGCATCCAATCAAGAGAATTGTTTTCAAATGTTTATCAGTCTCTGTCGTTCGATGTGTTGACTTCACATACTTCATTTTGAAAATGTTTGCTCACAGACATAAGCTGTTCCAAACAATGATGCCATTTCAGCGGCAAAGTTCTTCAGTTTAGAAACTCAGCATCAGGTTAGCAGCGGTAAAATTCAACAAGTTTTCCTTCTCTGTGGGTAAACATACGTTTTATCAAGCAAATCCAAGTACCTTCGGTGGCCGGATGAACTGGCACCGCGGGCCGTAGTTTGGAGATCCCTGAACTAGAGTCTAGATAACTTAAATTTGGCTGGCAGTTTTATCGCTACGTACTTGCTTGGTTATCACAGTTTTGTGGATCGTCACTCGACTTATTTCGAAATATATGTTGTACCGGAAGTTAAAATTTCCAGATGAAGTTGAAGTCAGAAAATAATCATGGGCACGTTGCGCGTAGCATAGATCAATTAGGAGCCGGTGCACTATATTAAACCACGCTTTAAACCACGAATGACTGAGTAACAAAAGTAAAATATACCTAAAAGTAAAGCTTCTTAAGTGAATAGAGCTGAATTATTGACATTTAAAAATCCATGCTATTGCCCCTGTAATCATTACTATTATATCTATTTATAAAGTTTAAGTCTTATTTTTTGTACAATGTGAGATTCTTTTATTGATCCAAATTATTGTAAATTTGTTAGGATTAGGCCTCCATTTTACATATTCTTTTCAGTCTTCATAGTCTTTGTATGAGATTTTTTTTTAAAACTTGGTTTGTAACAATGCGGAAGATGAACCATTGAGTGGTCAGATAGATTCACCAAAAGGAAACTAAACTGTGAGCTATGTGGTCTAACTTGCCATAGCACCTATCGAGAGTTCAATCTTGCCGCGTAGGTTACGGTTAGCATGAGAAACTTTTGGGCATAAATCAGGGCCATTGCTAATAAATACGTTACTGTGACTATCAAATACCGTATATTAAATCAGCTTACAGAGCCTTCTTGTAAAAAAAAATATGTTTATGTTCGTATTTAAAAAGGACAAATTTAACAAACTGCTGGTGAATGATAATAATAATATTAATAACAGTAAAAATAATAATGAGAATAATAATAATTATGGTCAACTCACAGAAAAAAACGATTTTCCTACAGCCAACAGAATTTTCTGGACACGTAGTCTTGAATTTATCCAAACTATTAGACGAGCAACTACTATCAAGTTGTGAATTGCAGCTGAAACATTGGATAGCTCCCGTTTTCATTTCTAAGAAGGGCAAGGAGAAAAAAATCATTTGTCAAAATTAGTGTCAGAACTAGACGAAGTACCGGTACATGAACATTGTCAACTCGTTAGTGGCACTATTATGTAGTTGACATGTGTTACATTTACACAATTCGTTAAACACGTGCAAACCGGCACTTTATAATAAATGTTGCTCTGTATTCAAATAAATACATATTTATCTTTAAAAATTGGGGGGGGGGGGTGGCGGGTTTATTTTGGGTGTTGGTTTGTGGTAAATTCTATTCAGGGATCAAGTCCAAATATGCGGGGGGGGGTGGCGGGTTTATTTTGGGTGTTGGGTGAGTTCCCCTCCCGCATATTTGGACTTGATCCCTGAATAGAATTTACCACAAACCAACAGCAGTGGCGTAGCTAGGGGGGCAGGGGGGATATATGTCCCCGGGCGCCACGTTTGGGGGCGCCAAAATGAGTATTAAAACAAATTATTTAATTTTATTTTGATGTAAACTAATGTATGCCAATTACGTTTGCAAGATTGAATTTCGGAGCTCCACAAATATCTTCATTACAAACCAGTTGGTAAGAATGATTTATGCGCCCCCATTGAGCATTAAGGGGCGCCATTCTACTCATAAACAAATGACACATCCACAATGTAGGGTTGCTGATGGCGTTTTTTTTTAAAACAAAGATCAGTTCGGGTTCAAATATTATTCTTTATATACTGAAAGTGGCATCTGGTTTTAACAATTATATATGTTGTATAATTTCGAGTCGAATATAGGATTTTACGTGAGTGCAAGGAAGATAGAATAATTCTTCACATAAGTTTAAAAGAGAAAGATTAGATAACAACTATTCGTCTCGTTGAATATAATCTGTAGCTTTCTCTCACTTCCACCAGTATAAAACAGTATCTCACATCCTTTTCCCAGACGCTATATTCGATGTTAGTAAATCGATCGTGGCTATTATATTCACCAATGAATAAAGCTGCTTACTGTTTCTGCTGTCTATTGTTTACATCATCAAGTTCAAACTCACGATCTTCATTTGAGTTAACCATTGATTTCAACAAATGGAGAAAGCCAGAAAAACTACAGTCTCATGAAAATAGTCTCGGCCACCGCAGAGCTTTTATTACATGGAAGGAAGCCGAGTGGAGGATACTTGATAAAACTGGAATTGATGTTCAGGTCCAAGCTCAAATTCAATTTGAAAAACAACGTTGGCGCGATATTTTGAAAAGAATACTTACCTGTATTAAGTTTCTAGTTTCACAAAATTAGGCACTGCGTGGCCATGAGGAACATATGCATGAGGACGAGCATAAAAATGTTGGAAACTTTCTCTCTGTGATCAAACTCTTTGCTCAGTATGATCCACTATTAGAAAAACACCTACAACATGCCCGAGAAAATACAGGTTCAGTATCTTATTTATCACCGGAAATTCAAAATGAATTTATCCACCTACTTGCATCGACTGTAAGGAATCAGCTGTTGAGTGAAATCAGAAAAAACAAGTACTACGGTATGTTAGTTAATTCAACACCCGATCTAGGACACCGGGAACAGCTTTCTCAAGTCATCAGATTTGGGGATGTGGATTTTCAAACTAAAAAAGTAACCATCAAAGAATCATTTTTAGGTTTTGTTCAGATACATTCCAAAGACGCAACAAGCCTTGAAAGAGTTATCGTAGAGAAACTGGAATCTGATAACATACCTCTAGCTGACTTTCGGTCAGAATGTTATGACAATACTGCTGTAATGAATGGGCATATATCCGGCCTTCAAGAAGCAAATATGTGCCAGAAATGAGCATTGTTCGTAAAATGTGACAACCACAGCTTAAACTTAGCAGGAGTACACTCAGCTAAACAGGATCCAGTTGCTATCACATTTTTTGGAATAGTTGAAAGTATATATTTGTTTTTCTCTCGTTCAACAACTCGTTGGGGAGAATTAAAAAGAGTTGTGCCAATCACAGTGAAGAGGGAGTCTGAAACACGCTGGAGTGCACGATCAGAAGCTGTTAAAGCTATTTATGAAGGACTAGATGAACTAGTAGGGCTGTTGGAAAAATTATCAGAAGATGCAACTATGACGCCTGAAACCAGAAGTGATACAGAAACTTTGCTTGCAGGTATATTAAACTTTAACTTCCTAGTTTTGTTACATTTCTGGAACATCATACTTTGGAAAATTGATCGCGTCCAGTAACGGTTGCAGGATCCTACTATGAATTTCAAGGAAGCAGCATCTGATCTTGAATCGCTGGAGCAAGAACTTGTCAACTTTAGTGATAATTTGAGCCAGGTTGCGGTAGACAATGGAATAACAAAATGCACAACTTGGGGAATCGAGGTTGACAGAAGGATTAGACGACATCAGAGGATGCCTAGAGAATTAGCAAGAGATGCAGGACTTTCTGCAGAAGAAGAAATTGCACGTGTTATGAACAGCGTAATTGATAGACTCCAACAGGAGATATCCATACGGTTTTTATGTCTATAAAAGCTAAACACGAAATTTGGATTTTTACTAGACGTCAAAATTCTTCTCGCTGAGACAAATGTCGATACACTTCGTCAAAATTGCTTCGATTTTGGAAATTTCTACGACACTGACGTCAATGGTCACGAATTGTGCACAGAAATCGGAGACTGCAAAATGCTGCTCAGTATCCGGACTGAAGTTCTACCGGAAACTGTTTTGGATCTTCTTGGTTTTATCGTTTCATATGGAGATGACGTATTTCAGAATCTGCGCATTTCACTGCAAATACTTATAACAATTGCTGTTTCAATTGCAAGCTGTGAGCGGTCCTCCAGCAAACTGAAGCTTATTTTGTCTTATTGACGTGCTTCAATGGGACAAGATCGTCTGAGTGATCTTGCACTTCTTAGCATCGAAAGAGAGACAATTGAGAATATTGATTTTGACAACGTGATTGACGAGTTTGCAACACTCAAATCAATGAGGATCAATTTGTTGTAGACTATGTCTTTCCAGTCATGTAGAATTAATAGAGTATATTTTATTTTTTTTTTCAAATTAATTGTTTGCAATCGTAAAGAGAATTATTAATCTGTATTCTATTTCATTAAAATACCAGATGCTTCGAAAATGAACCATATAAACCGTAAAATTTCAAAATTTTCTTGGGGGCTCAGACTGAGCCCCCAGATTCTGTCGGTCCAAGAAGGGGCGCAGACTTTATGTCATGTCCCCGGGCGCAGATGACCCTAGTTACGCCACTGACCAACAGTAATGTTAGAATTAAATTCTGCGGTTTGTGTGTCAGATAACTGATGAATGGAATAAAAAGAGTTAGCATGGAAGGATTAAGCTATTTCAAAGGAAACCTCATATCGTGTGAGTGAATCTGGAAATAGCGTACTTTGATATTTCCCTGCGCTTTTCTTGACATAAATTATCCCCCGGCATGGATCTATTTCTTAAACGAAATTCCTTGAAATAAAGCAAATATTTCAAATGCGAGATGCGCAAGGGTTTCTGTGGGATGAATTCGTGTGCAAATAGCACAACTACGCCGAGCTCATACCGAATTACGTCATGAACAGAGTTTCTGATTTCCCGTCTTCTTTTTTTTTTTTTTTTTTTTTTTTTTTTTTTCCCGGGGAAACGGGGCAAAAATTTTTTTTTTTTTTTTTTTTTTTTTGCTTATCCCGGGGAAACGGGACAAAAGTCACTCTCATCCCGGTGTCCCGAAAAATAAATTCACTTAAAAAATATTATTAACTTATCTAAACTATACAAGAGTTGGTTTTAATTATCCTTACTTAATAGCTTTTTTCTAAGGACTAAAAAACCATGTTAAGGTGACTTTAGGAATTGTTCATTTGCTACTAGTTACTTTATTTCTCCCTGCTTAGCCCTTTTATTAACTATATAACAAGCTCATAATAAGCAAAAGTCGGATATAATCATCTGTAGCAAAAACACCTTTACACTTTATTGGGTAATAAGGGGAGAGACTGCAATCGGGTTAGCACAATATAAAATGAGTCAAACAAATTAGGGTTAAACCTGAAAAAAGAAGCACAACAAAGCAACGTTGTTTTGTAGCTTTACTTTTTTCAGGTTTAACCCTACCTTGTTTTACTCATTTTATATATTTTACACTTTATATGAGTGTTGCATTAACATGACGCCCATTCTTGTCTCAAATCCATCAAGAAATGTTTACAAGCAATTGTTTCTAAAAACTCGTAACAATCGATTCGTTTCTAATTTAAAAAAGTTAATACAAGTATATATATATATTTATATATATTATATATATATATATATATATATATATATATATATATATATATATAATATATATATATATATATATATATATGTATTAATAGGTTGAATTTAAACGTTTTTAAAAAATGCATAAGATAAAGGTTGTTTAGTTTAACACATAAAATTCTGGTATAATTAGTTAATAGTGCACTGGTTCACAGCTCTTGATACGTGACCTCAAATGGGGTGCGAATGCATTTCTGGGGAGCAGCAGGCTGAAATAACAGACTAAGAGAAAATTAAACAGTGATTTTGAATAGTTTTCTTTTGAAATTGGATTGCTTGAAATTTGAGTTGCAATTTCAATCATGGCACTAAACATCTAGTTAATTACGATTATATTATATTGAAATATCTAGTTTTCAAAGAATGTCCCATATTTAAAGCATTTCTTTCAATTTATCGCAGTTAAGTGTCACTTTGCTTCTATATATATATAAGGGCCGGCTGTGAATTGAAAACGCACGAGAACCTGTGTACTAGAGCTATTATGTTTTATTGAGCGCCGTTAAATTTTTTTACTGATCATAGCAACAATTTGGGACAATCTTTAAATCGCTGAAATTTAAAAAAAAAAAAAAATCATTTGACTCTATACCTTTGTACCCGGAAGACTTTTGCTGACTAAAAATGGCGTGGGATCCTGGGATCTGCAAGTAAAACCCAAGACACGAACAGGGAGGGATGCAGCCCCTTTGCTTCGTCAATAAGTCTGCTGTGTATTTCTACCAATAAGTTCAAACAGCCAGTGGTCAGAAGATTTTCTACCAATTTGAAGGTTGTTAATGAAACAATGGTTATTGTGTGCACGTCTCGCCAATGCATAGTGAAAGCAAACCGATCGAATAGACAACAATGCACATTTGGACCTTGCTAGCTTTTGTTTGGATATTCAAAACAGAACAAAAAAACTCGAGATGTAGATGAACTGCACAAAGAATACCATTTAATTCAGTCTAAGCACAAGAAAATTTCGCTCAACTTTTATAACTGTCATGTGAAAAGCTATATATAAAAAATATTTTTAAAAACTTGATGTTCTATGCTACGAATTCTCAGTTTATTAATTTGAAATTTTGTGATTAAAACATGTTAAATTACCTTAGTTTTTTAAGGTTTTCTTTCGAATATCTAGCCTTTACTGCAATGTGAAAGCAAGGTCAATGTGTGCCAGGCAAGCACGAAGTAGATATAAGGCGCACCGGGGTAAATCGAATCACAAATTGATTGAAAATGAATGGAAAAAAAAATGAAAAAAAGAAAAATGTCCGGTTTTCTTTATTGAAATCAGAATGATACAATTATTTCCTTTAATTAGACAATGAGACCAGTGAGTCAGGACTAGGGTTTTCTGTGCACGGATCATGCACGACTTCGGTTAACCCTTAGGACATTACGGTCACCCTTCACAAAGACAGCCGGCTCACCTCTGACAACTTTAGAATTCTTAGGACATTACGGTCACCCTTCACAAAGACAGCCTCCTTACCTCTGACAACTTTAGAATTCTTTGGACATTACGGTCACCCTTCACAAAGACAGCCGTCTCACCTCTGACAACTTTAGAATTCTTAGAACATTACGGTCACCCTTCAAAAAGACAGCCTGCTCACCTCTGACAACTTTAGAATTCTTAGGACATTACGGTCACCCTTCACAAAGACAGCCTGCTCACCTCTGACAACTTTAGAATTCTTAGCACATTACGGTCACCCTTCACAAAGACAGCCTGCTCACCTCTGACAAATTTAGAATACTTAGGACAGCCAGTTATTTACTCCATTCTTCTTCCTAACCTAAATCCTCTGAGGACTCTATTCCCTTTTCTTAACTACTTCTTCTTCGTTGACGTTGCCAATCTAACTAGGAATTGAGGACAAGGCACTCTTTGCGATGGAGGTAGTCCCCGGAAACTGGACACTCATGAAGCCTTCAACATGTTAAACATATCACTCACGCTGATGCCTTTAGGTCTTGTCCAAGTGATAATGGTGACACGACCAAAATCATTCTTACATTGCATTCCCACAATCCAGTAGTCAACATTTTTTCTTTAAAAACAGTGCCGTTTTCCCCACCGTTCTTCACACCCACAACATTTTCTCAACCGCCTCTCATTGTGTTCAGACGAGATTAGAATACACGGGATCTCCTTCTTCGTAGCCACCCCTCCCACTTTAGGATCAAGTCATGTGGACGCAACAATTGCATAATTTGCGCTTCTGTCATCTATACATTTCCTTCCCTAAGGGAAGTCTTTAGTTAAGGGACGGTTTCCTTTGCACAAGCCGCAACGTTATGTAATCTACGCTAGCGTTTCCCAAACATTTAAATTTGGCAGACTTGTGGACAAGTTTCCTATTGCACCAGGGACCGGGATTCATTCGCCGTGTTCAACTGTTGTGAGTATGATCTGGCCTCCCCATTTTTTCCACAAAAAAAACATTAATTGGGTATGCCATTTTAGGCATAGTCTTGTAACTTGTAACGACAAAGCATTTTCATTATAATGGTTTGGACTTGCTTTGAGTCATTTTTTAATTGATAAGTTTAATTTCTTAACATTTTAACCTGGCACATAGCGTCACGGGAGTATATTTTACTCTAAAGAGAATCTCGATTTTTGACATTTGTTTTGAAACGAGATTGAATCATGTAACTACCACCCCAGTTTCTTGAATAATGTTGTGGAGACCAGCAAGGTTAGGCTCACGGACCGACGCGGGTCCAACATTTCGGGAACGCTGATCTACGCCATTGTTAGTACCCGCTGCCATCTGAGCGAGGCTGGTCGGCGTCTATCAAACAAATGTACTGAACCCCATCGAAATATTACGCACGATAAACAATGTCCTAACTCAAAAAAACTTCAATAGAAGCAACCACAAGGGCTCCATCGACTACATTTGTTAAATTCTTTCTCCACTACTCACTTTTTACAACCAATCGCCGTGGACTAACTTTTCCTCTCTTCCTCTCCCCTTTGCCTCTTTAAACGTATGGTCTAATACATTCCTCTTGCTGTCCTCTCGGATTAAAAATCTCAGCTAAGCTTTAATTTTTTATAATTGTATTACTTGATTTTTGCACTGATCTCTGACGATGGCTTCTTGCCAACACGACACATTAGTTGTTTAGTTGGGTCATTTCTCAGGATTTCCCATACCTTATTTCACATATTTCTCGCACAATTATAAGTAAACAAAGGACTTTCCGGGAAAGTTTACTACCACGGGAAATAGCCGGTAAACACATTTAGAACATAATTTCTTGTCTTTAAAATTTCAACAAGTCACAAATTTTAACTAATTGTCGCTATAAGCCAGTACCTGTAAAATCTACTTAAATGAGCTGAATTATTACGCTCAATAGTTCCAGTACACATATTCTTCATTGTTTTAAGTCACGACCTCATTGATAGATAAGTCAAGCTACCATTACAGCGATTTCATGAAAAAGGTGTTCAAATAGGGTAGATACTTGGAAATTTAAAAAAAAAAACATATTCAAACTAGATTTTTCAATACGAAGTGGCTATTCGTACCCGGGTACAAGAAGTGAGAGGTTGGGATTAAAAAACGATTTAAAATTTTATTTTTGGGTTTGTAAGACCAAATGAGGTATCAAATGAAAGATAATTGAAAGGACTATATGTTTGTAAACTTACTTCTTCATTTTTTAGTGATGCATCTTCTAATTCAATAACGGTTTCTGATATGTCTTAACTCCTTTTCCTTAACAGTACAATGTTATCCTGAAGGGGTTGATTGAAGACACTTCCCATTGGTTATGGGTCGTGGGTCTCCCTCAGAAAGTATACTGTTATTGTTCCTCTGGTTTCAATAAGTATGTTTCTTATAACTCTCTCTGTTAGTTTAAATAGCATTCATGCAAGTGAGTCTCCTTGTCTTAGGCGTCGTCTAATTTGAAATACCCTGAATATTCTCTCTGAACCTTTTGCTTCTTCAGTTTTTGAATGTTACATGTATCAGTTTTGTCATTTTATTGGGTATGCCAAACTCTTGCAGAGTCTCATAGATATTTTTTCTTTTGAATCATCATATTAATATCCATTGTTATTAGTTATTACTAAGTTAGTTAAATGTTTGCACAAAGTCCACAAGATATCGCGTAAAATTACGGTATGAAATTCGCGTTTTATAATACGGTATTATTACAAATAGCACAATAATTATGTTTTAGGGTAACGAAACCCTCACCAGAGCCGTCACGAGACTTTTGGAGGTCCACTGCCAATTTTTGTTTTCTTGCCCACTGCATTCAAAGTTAATAGTTGAATTTTTTTCATCATCTCAACTTTAGACCCTAAAATATAAGAGGTCCCAGTGTAACGGCAGGGGTTAAAGGGCCCACGCGATGGCTCTCCAGGTAATCAACGCGAAATGGATATGATTAATACATTTAATAAAATAATTGAAACATGAAACCTAACGCCATTTTAAATCTTTCGTTTGCATATTACCATCCTGATTTTGTTCGGAAAAAAAAGTTCAAAAAAACAAAAACAAACGAAGATTTTAAATTTTAAATAGCATTCTAATTTATATAAAACAACCCTTACTACCTTTTAGGTGAAGCCCATCGCTTATATATATATTGCTTTTGGTATGTTCTTCTTCCTCTTCGAAACCGGCCCTTCTCCAACTCCACGTTTTATATAAACAGTACTGAGTGAAACAAAGGCTGCCAGGCCTGACGTTTGAACTCAGGTAATAAACATTTCTTTAGGGGGAGGCGACTGTATCAATCAATAAAGAGCCACAGGTATTGCGTGGGACTTGTTAGGACTATTGTTTAAATGCCGGCAGGTAGGTTGTAGGATAGGGTGAACAAATCATGAACTGGAACAAACGGGACACACCCAAGGAGGGTTTTTTTGGGGGGGGGGGGGGATACCCCCCACCTTAAGAAGGGCCGCTCTTTTTAATTATTTGGAGACCTAGAAATCTTTTTTAAAATTTACCTTCACTTTTTAAGTTTAAATGCCGGCAGGTAGGTTGTAGGATAGGGTGAACAAATCATGAACTGGAACAAACGGGACACACCCAAGGAGGGTTTTTTTGGGGGGGGGGGGGATACCCTCCAGCTTAAGAAGGGCCGCTCTTTTTAACTATTTGGAGACCTAGAAATCTTTTTTAAAATTTACCTTCACTTTTTAAATTAAATTAATTTACTCAGGGGCATATAATAAACGAAAACAATAATTTTGCAGTGAATTACTTATTTATGTATACATATTTACAACATAATACAACACAACAAATTAAATTTCTCTAGTCTAGGATTTACATTGAGGATATTTGACTGTTATCCCAGCCATTGTTAAAACCTCCTTCTTATCTAATAAAAAGTTGTCAAAACTAGAACAGAAAATGTGTTTAGTTTTAGAAACGGGAAATTTAGGCACCCCGAGAGACTTTTTCGGGACACCGGGTACGATCGTGAAAAAACGGGACAATCGTTTTTAAGGGACGTTTGGTCACCCTAGTGCAGGAATGTCTGTAGGCCAGCAAATATTATATAAAATGAGAAGTTTTCTTTTTTCGTAACACTTGGACTCACCGGGCATTGTCTCAAAATACCCGGACCCGGTGTAAAAAACTACGACCGGTTAAGCCCTATTATTTTATTAGTAGTATTATAGTATTATATTATTTGTATATCAATATCATAAGACGGCATGAAAAATCTGAAAAATTAGTAAATTTATTCATTTTATTAGGGTATGCTAAAATAATTTTTTTGTAATCAATAAAAAAGCGTAATGAATACTTACTTGAAGGTATACATAAGAACAACAGCAGTGCTATCCAGGGATGATAATCCACGAAATAGTTCATATCTCCAGATTTGCACTACATGTATTACCCGAGTCTGTGTAAATGTAAACCAGAGTTTAGAATTGAACCTTCTTTACACTTTACAGGAAATCAGCCATCATTCAGTTACAAAATAATTTAAATAATGTTAAATTAAGAGAAATAGTTATCAGAATTTGAAAAAAACAATTCAATATGTTTATGATTTATCTCTTTTAAAACTACTATTTACAACAGACTACAAGTATAAGTATCCCTAACCCTAAAATTACTTTTTTTATTGATTTTTTATTCACGCTTCTATTTTATTGCCTTACTATTCATGAAACGCTTTTTAATTTGTCTTTAGGCTTTGATCCACAATGATCAGCATCAATATAATGTGTTTCTTCCATAGATATTTAACTGATTTAAAAAAAATGAATATAATTAACTTATTTGCCGTTTGTATCCATAAGCAGGAATAACCTTGTATCAACAGGAAATGCCTGCGCAATGAGGTGCGTTGGTATAGTTCTAGCAGTGGCAATTTAACGTACGTTATCGGTGTAATTTTTAAGAACCATCGCATTTATGATTTATTAACAAAGTTATTATCGATTTTCTTATAATTTCATTATTTTATCCCAAAAAAAAGTGTACCTTTCAAATGCATTTGACAATGAGCGGCGTAGACCTACAATTATGGAACTTCTTAAAATGATAAATTGTTGACTTATCAACAACAATAACAATAAAGAAATGAAACAATATAAAGTTTACCCCCTTATTTAATTATTACTTAACAATACGGATATTTATTATTTTTTACTTGATTTTCTTCAATAAAAAGTTATAAAGGGTAGAAATGTAATGTTAACCAATTTTATATTTCAAAATACTAATATTTACATGGACATGCAGGCTACAGATATTCATTTTATGAAAATAAAAAATAATTAAAAATCAAAGGATTTGAATGTGGATCAATTCACACAAACCAATCAGCAAACTGACCAGGCATGCCGAGATAATTATAACTTTCAATTTAGATTAGATACTATTAAAAAGCACAGAAAAACTTAAAACTTCAGTTCCCGGGTAGGGTGATGGCCTTCATGAACCCTTTGATCTCATCGTTGCATAAAATATCACAATAGACAATAGGTCTGTCTAAGTAAACTTAAAAAATGAACACATAAGTAATTATTTTTATATTTACAAAAGCCGGATTAATATGAGGACTGAGGACATATTGATTATTTCAGTTAGGTGACTATATTTACACCCACTAGACGTAAGAAGAGTTCGGTTAGGAAATTGTGTGTGGGGGAGGGGGGCGGCCCATCCCCGGGGAATAATTTATATATATGAATATTTATTTATATAAATAAAGACGGAATGATGCCATATATATATATATATATATATATATATATATATATATATATATATATATATATATATAATTATTATTAGTATTATTATTATTATTTGTGGTTCTATATAGCCTAGGGCTTGGCTCACCACGCCAGGGCCATCTTAACAACACTGGAGGCCCTGGGCACAGCAATGCAAATATTCATTAACAATATGTGCAACATGATGCCTTTATAAGAGTGAGTCTCCTAGAAGCGCGGAGCCCCCTAGAGGCGTGGGGCCCTGGGCCTTAGGGACGGCACTGCACCCCGCTGTACATACAATTTAACAAACATAACCATGAACTTAAAAAATAAATATTTATATACCCCCTCCATATATTTTGTGTGTGCAAAATACTCTGTTGGGATTAAGACGGCGAATATATTTTCACGCTTGGGTGTTTCCCAGGGACGGCTCAAGATACCGGCAACTCGGGGCACCATGTGCTTAGGGCCCCATAAGCGATCAAGGTAGACTAATCTTTAATACTGTACAAATAAAAGTTAAGAAAAACATTATCATTGCTCATTGTTTGTTTAGAAAAAAACCTAGATAATCAACTAATTACCTAACCCCTAGTTTTTTCATGGCAAAATATTTATGATTATACTTAAAAGGGGTGCCAAATTTAAGCTTTCCCGGGGCGCCAGCAACCGTAGGGCTGGCCCTGGTGGCACCAATCCTAGCTACGCCACTTTCATCGGTTAGACTAATTTGTGTCCCACCCTCTTCTGAAATTATCATAAACAAGTAAGTAAGTAATTAAAGATTGTCTCTTGTTTGTGAGGAAAATACCTCCAAAATTATCGTCACCGAAAATCAATGTTTTCAAAAGTGTGGTGTGCGCCCCAAAGGGAGACAATTTAGTAAGTATCAGGTGACATTAAGTTTCTGAAATAGGAAATGTATTTAAGTTGAACAGGCCGGGGTGCTGCAAAGTTGAACAGGGCGGGGTGCTGCAAAGTTGAACAGGGCGGGGTGCTGCAAAGTTGAACAGGGCGGGGTGCTGCAAAGTTGAACAGAGCAATTTTTGAAACGTTCATCGTCGTTATTGTTTTTAATATGATAAGGGCCATGAGAAGGGGTGAAGGGGAAAACCGTCTCGGGCGCCATTATCAGGGGCGCCAATATAGTAAATTATCCTTATGTATGTATGCATGTATGCTTATATCCCCTAACGTAGGAGCGTCACTTATTTATATGACTGTATGTGTGTGTGTGTTTGGGGGAGGCAATATCGGCCCAAAGCAATGAAGATCAAGGGAGTTAATGGATTGAAAGCCATGACACATAATTTTTATTATAAAACTTAATAATAACATTCGACATGGGATCAATCCATTTTATTTTTATTCAGAACCAATTCAAAGAAAGATGTTGATTTAAGTTGAAACAAAAGAGGAGCGAGGCTAAAAAAAAACGAGTCAGGAGTCGTCAATAGGTGGCATTTGACAAGTCTTTTGATGATGTCAGGAGTCATGAATAGGTGGCACTTGACAAGTCTGTTGATGATGTCTGGAGTCATCAATAGGTGACATTTGGCAAGTCTTTTGATGATTCTGGAGTCGTCAATAGGTGGCATTTGACAAGACTTTTGATGATGTAAGGAGTCATCAATAGGTGGCATTTGACAAGTCTTTTGATGATGTCAGTAGTCATCAATAGGTGGCATTTGACAAGTCTTTTGATGATGTCTGGGGTCATCAATAGGTGGCATTTAACAAGTCTTTTGATGATTCTGGAGTCATCAATAGGTGGCATTTGGCACGTCTTTTGATGATTCTGGAGTCATCAATAGGTTGCATTTGACAAGTCTTTTGATGATGTCAGGAGTCATCAATAGGGGGCATTTGAGAAGTCTTTTGATGATTCTGGAGTCATCAATAGGTGGCATTTGGCAAGTCTTTTGATGATTCTAGAGTCATCAATAGGTGGCATTTGGCAAGTCTTTTGATGATGTCAGGAGTCATCAATAGGTGGCACTTGGCAAGTCTTTTGATGATGTCTGGAGTCATCAATAGGTGGCATTTGGCAAGTCTTTTGATGATTCTGGAGTCGTCAATAGGTGGCATTTGACAAGTCTTTTGATGATGTAAGGAGTCATCAATAGGTGGCATTTGACAAGTCTTTTGATGATGTCAGGAGTCATCAATAGGTGGCATTTGACAAGTCTTTTGATGATGTCTGGGGTCATCAATAGGTGGCATTTAACAAGTCTTTTGATGATTCTGGAGTCATCAATAGGTGGCATTTGGCACGTCTTTTGATTATTCTGGAGTCATCAATAGGTTGCATTTGACAAGTCTTTTGATGATGTCAGGAGTCATCAATAGGGGGCATTTGAGAAGTCTTTTGATGATTCTGGAGTCATCAATAGGTGGCATTTGGCAAGTCTTTTGATGATTCTAGAGTCATCAATAGGTGGCATTTGGCAAGTCTTTTGATGATGTCAGGAGTCGTCAATAGGTGGCATTTGACAAGTCTTTTGATGATGTCAGGAGTCATCAATAGGTGGCACTTGGCAAGTCTTTTGATGATGTCTGGAGTCATCAATAGGTGGCATTTGGCAAGTCTTTTGATGATTCTGGAGTCGTCAATAGGTGGCATTTGACAAGTCTTTTGATGATGTAAGGAGTCATCAATAGGTGGCATTTGACAAGTCTTTTGATGATGTCAGGAGTCATCAATAGGTGGCACTTGGCAAGTCTTTTGATGATGTCTGGAGTCATCAATAGGTGGCATTTGGCAAGTCTTTTGATGATTCTGGAGTCGTCAATAGGTGGCATTTGACAAGTCTTTTGATGATGTAAGGAGTCATCAATAGGTGGCATTTGACAAGTCTTTTGATGATGTCAGGAGTCATCAATAGGTGGCATTTGACAAGTCTTTTGATGATGTCTGGGGTCATCAATAGGTGGCATTTAACAAGTCTTTTGATGATTCTGGAGTCATCAATAGGTGGCATTTGGCACGTCTTTTGATTATTCTGGAGTCATCAATAGGTTGCATTTGACAAGTCTTTTGATGATGTCAGGAGTCATCAATAGGGGGCATTTGAGAAGTCTTTTGATGATTCTGGAGTCATCAATAGGTGGCATTTGGCAAGTCTTTTGATGATTCTAGAGTCATCAATAGGTGGCATTTGACAAGTCTTTTGATGATGTCAGGATATTTTTTTCTACAAATTTTTAAAACTTAATATTAATGAAGTAGTTTAAATACATAAATAGTTTAAATACGAATATTAAAAAAAATCAATTTAATAACAACTAAAAATAAAGTATTTTGTCTAAACATAACCGGGTCAAGGGGCACCTAGGTTCGCTTACTCATCTCTTCTCTTGTTCTCAGATCAAGGTTCAAATGATTTTTTAAAAATAAATTCAGGCACACGCCAAAAGTCATCCTTGCTTTTTAAACGAATCAATACTTGTATATAGAGAGATATATTTATATATCGAAATCCGAACGCAGCTTTTGAATCTAAAAGCTCCAAGTTAGCTTTATCCACTTTATCAGTTAAGCATTTCAACTGACAAAATCGCAAGACAAGGAACAGTGGATAAAGATCGTAGATATTTATATGTTTCATTTTTTTTTAAAAGCTGCTCTTACATGAAGCCACAGATAACAGATCGTGGGGTTTAATTTGTAGACCTAATGAGAGGATTGGGATCGATTTTAGATACGGTTACCAGACGTCCATATTTAGTATGGACAGATTGTATTTTCGACACCCCACCCCCCTCCCCTTTTGTCCGTACTAACTTTTGCGTCCGTATTTGTCCATGCTTTCTACTCGTCGTCCATCTTGTCAGTACTTTTAAATTTGTTTTTTCCTATTTCTCGCGAAGACCAGCTGCAATGAATCGTTTCAACGTCATCGTATGGAAAATTTCTCGTTTACCTAAGCATGCGTGAACCCGCGTGAGATGTGAAACTATCTGCGCATCCTGGGCCATGACCTGTGCGGGAAGGGTGACTTCCGGCTTCCGTGTCGCTTGGTCATTGTCCTTGGAACTTTGAAAGGGATTTGGGTCCCT